CCCCAAACTAAAGGAAATAAGTTTTTTATCCGACATCGATCTTTTGACGTCGTCCCTAAACGGCAACCGAGTCGCTTCATATATACATCATTATTGTGAATATATTACACTTACTTCTTAAAGATCATCGGCATTGGGATTTCGATAAACGACGCTTTTATTGGAAGGAATGGAAGAACTCCCAAGTAGAAGAAAACGGTTGTCGTGACAACCTTACGCATACTGAACATTACTGGGATTAATGGATTCTAAAAAATAAAAGAAAAACATGAAACATCTTACCTGGCAAGTATGCTTGGCATGAGAATTTCTAAAAAGGACTCCTTTATTGATAAGAAAGGAAGTAAGCCAATGTAGAAGAAGAAAGCGGTGAACAAAACTTTACGTTTACTGAAGAAGTTAGGTATATTAGGATTCTGAAAATGAATAGTGAAAGAAAGAGATGTTTGAAATGATGAGAAAAGTCAGAGATTGTGATGTAATCCATCCAAAAATGTACAAGACAAATGAGCTCAATGTTTTATCCACTTGTCCCACATTGAGTGAGTAAATATACCGGTATCAAAATAATACAACTCTATGCTTTAAATATTTCACCGCCAGACTTTCTTGCCCAAATTTTTCTGCATTTTTTTTCTTATATTCTTCAATATTTCTGGAAATGAACCCTAATTTTGAAGCCAATGGACAAAATGTGAGTCAATTTTCAGTTTGTACTCAAAAAATTTGGCCATTTTTGTCCCAATCTTCTGAAGGAAAGTGCAAGACTATAGATGGACTATTTAGTGAAGTGGTGATGAAAAGAGAGAAATGTTGGTGAAAAGGTTTCAGGACCAGGCCTTGTCTTTGGCAGATGGCTGGCAAGTTGGAAATGTCTCTACTGAACAAAGTCCTGTGATTAGGCAAGCTATGGGCTAATAAAATCTCATCAAAATATCTGAATTGCGATAACGATAATTAGCTCTTGTGCATCATTATTTGTGAGAATGATACATGTATGTGAGTGGAGTGACCACTCCCCTCAAATGGCATGCCCTGTAAAACCATTTTTTTAATATATATTGCAAAATATTTTGAATTCAAAATACCATATTTACTGTATTAGAAGCACATCTCCCATGGAAGTGCACATAAAATAGCATTTGTTGTATACTAATCATTAAAATATTACTATTAAAAGGGCAAATGCCACTTCAAAGTAGGGCTTAAACACAAACTCATTGTTTCCATGAGGAACCAGTTTGGGTATTTTTTTTTTTTCATTATTTATTAATTATTGAATCTGTCACTCATTAAAAAAAGAATTTGTAATGCTCTCAATAAAAACAGAATTCTTCTCAAAATCTATTTTTACTGATTTTACTGACATAACTTTACTGGTATTTTGGTCTCAAGTGTTTCTTATCAACAGTGCCACCAATGTCTGGTTTGAGAAACCTTTCTCCACAATAAACTTGAATGAGGACTTTAGCAGCAAATTATTTTTTACACACAGTGTAGTCAAGAAATGACAAATGACAATGAATGAATTTATGAAAGTGAGAATAAAAGTATCACATCAATACCTGTTTATAGCATTTGTCAACAATTTGTTGATTTGCATTTCCCCATACCGTGATCTCTTCTCTTTTGTACTCTTTCACTAGATCAGAAACCTGCATTAAGCAATCACAGTTAGAAAGAAATCTTGCATTAAACAGTCACAGTTAGAAAGAAATCTTGCATTAAACAGTCACAGTTAGAAAGAAATCTTGCATTAAACAGTCACAGTTAGAAAGAAATCTTGCATTAAACAGTCACAGTTAGAAAGAAATCTTGCATTAAACAGTCACAGTTAGAAAGAAATCTTGCATTAAACAGTCACAGTTTAATAGAAAGTAATCTTGCATTAAACAGTCACAGTTAGAAAGTAATCTTGCATTAAACAGTCACAGTTAGAAAGAAATCTTGCATTAAACAGTCACAGTTAGAAAGAAATCTTGCATTAAACAGTCACAGTTAGAAAGACATCTTGCATTAAACAGTCACAGTTAGAAAGTAATCTTGCATTAAACAGTCACAGTTAGAAAGAAATCTTGCATTAAACAGTCACAGTTAGAAAGAAATCTTGCATTAAACAGTCACA